ATTTTAAAGGAGAACACGGAAGCCGAGGTTCGATGAATTATCTGATACATATTGTCAAATGAATTTATTATTGTTTCCTTTTAGGGCAATTTAAAGCAATAATTTAGGAATTTAATGTTACGTTTATCAAGATCTAAGGTACAGTGAAGAGCATAACTGTATCAGTGACATCATCGATCATTTAAACTGATATAAATTCGTAAAAAAAGAATCACATAAGGAGCATTTGAAAACGTAGAGTTTTTACTTTGGTAGTTGCGAGCTCGTTTTTCTCGAAGACGATTTTACATCGATCACTTTGAACATTGAAATCTCCTCCTTACAATGATTCCTTCAAACTCACTGTACAATTTTTTTCTTATAATTTTATTGAATTTTGAACACTGTTAGATAATGAAAGATTGAAATTTTCGTTTTAACCCTGATATTCAAAGTTCAATAAAATAGTAAGAAAAAATCACGTAGCAAGTTTTATGAGGTTATTGTAAATAGGAAGATTTAATCTTCAATGTCGCGATGGATTTAGTCGTGAATAAAATTTTTCAGTGTTTTTCGTGAATTTCTACAATTTTTTTTTGAAAGAAGAAAACTTTTCCATTTGCTGCGTGGTGTTAAAATGTCTTGCAAGAAAAAAAAAAAAAAGAATTCATATTAGCGAGAAGAGAAGAGAAAACTCCAATCTTCAAAATCATAGTGGACGAGAAAACAATCTTCTCAACGTTTCTACACGCGTTTGAAGTTTTACAATTGCCGAGAATAACTTTTCATCACGTAAATGAACGAACTCGCGTCTGTCGAAAGTTGGATCTTCACGCTTTAAAATTAGAGCAAATGGGCCTCATTGTTTAAATTATCGGCAATTTTTCATAGTTACGCTCCTCGCCGGAGTTTGTGACACTGTTTGATAGCACGTTTGAAATTAGTCAGACTCGCAAGAAAAGGAAGATGAAACAATCTCGTTTGAGAAGATCGTTGGAACCGTAAACGTGAATAAGTTGAATTTGGTTGGTGGAAGCGAGAGCAGTCGCGTGGAACGAACTGCTTCGTGAATTAATTACAATAGTCTGGTAATTACCGAACCTCCGGGTTCGGACTCGTGATCCTTTTGCATCGCAATGGAACTCTCTTTTGTTCCGTTTAGCGAGCGTTAAAAGGTGAGCACTCCGCTGGTTAGGAGCGAGTCTGCTCTTTTGTTACTTTCGCGACTAATGGAGATAATGAGATTAAAACTGTGACAAGCGGTCTTTCTTCGTATTAGAAGAAACTAATACCCTGTGTGCTTGCTGCGCAACTAACGGTAGGAAAATTATTGCCTGCTTGTACTAAAAAACGTTCGTAACACCCTGGAACTACACATATAGTAGGGTGAATTGTTGTGGAAAAATTTACATCCTTTCCATTCGTACTTTCTATCATTCTATATTTAATACCGTTTTATTTATTTAATTTCGTCGACGCATTCGCGTCGCAGCTCGGATTGCATCGTGTCTACGTGTATTATAATTTGTCGAATCTCAATTTGAACATTAATATCAACTAATTAGAATAAAATATCAGAATACGAGACTTATAAGATTATTTAATACAGAATGGGTCGAAAGCCACTTCCTACTGAAATAAATGAATAAATTTTCGAACGCTCTGGCGGTTAAGATTTGAAAGAGATAATGAAATGATCATGTTTAAACTTGTAATTTAATTTAAAATTAATAAAAATAGCTTTTACTTATATTTTGATGTGATTTTATTAAAAGAATTTAATCAGTATGTATTACTTTTTGTATCGTCAAAATATCTTTATCTGACAAAACCTTCGGCCAACAAAACAGTCTAGTTATTATTACACAATTATTAGAATATAATGACTAAACTGTTCCATCGATTGATGATTTTAATAACAAAAAGATATTTGCATGATACAAGTCACTTAATAAACGTAATATCTCTCTCATCGCTGCTCGCAAATTACACCGCGTTTTATAATTCACTCGCGGACTATCTCGCTTCGTGATGCAAATGGATGAATATTATACGAACTTCGTCTGTCAATTTGTCTAATCAATTCTGAAGAGCAAGCTCACATGCTTTCACGTTGCAGCATGAACTAGTTGCTTCTTGAATAGTTTACAGTTTGTTATGGCCAAAGATGTGAACACTTGGAAAAAATTTTGAATTCACCGACAGAATTTATTTATCGACTGTGCACGACGTTTCAAAAAATATCCGGCTGAATCGGTAATCACGGTTCCGCAAATGAAAAAATAAAAAAAAAATAGAGGGAACAATTTTTCATATCTTTTGGTGGAGTTTTGTATGCCATCGTGACGACTAGATTTTTCAATCGCATCGATAGAATCAAGAAAGCAAAGTTCGAAAAAATTTCTCGCGCACAATCACCGACACAGAGATCGTGTACGATCGTATGAAAACCGCGGTACTTAGAAGTAAAAAAAAAAAAAAAAAAACAAACCCGATTACCGGCAAATCCATCGAGTTTTAATCTGCCATCGATATTCTTTCTCTGTGGCCTGTTTACGTATTTGCTTTGTTTATTTATCCGCCGCGTGGTGTTTTCGCAATTTTTCAAGTGCGCAACATCCGATACAATACGAGGTACGTGGTACCATTTTTTTTTTTCTTTCTTTCTTTCTTTTCGTTTCGTTTTTCCCTCTTCCTCGACACGATGAAGCACTTGTTAACAACGCGTCAAACAGCCTGGTCAAACAAATCGGGCTCGGGTTTATTAGCTCTCGGTCCCTCTGATTAACAAATTCGTCCAGATGGGGAACGTCCACCTATCAAGAAAGTGTTTCGAGTTTTCTCCGAGTGTAGCCGAGCGTACTCCCGACGAAAGTCGACCCCGTCGGCTAAAAGCAAAGTTCTCGAACCACCGAGGAGTTAGACTAATGTTTCGTTCTCGAGAAGCTTCGCCGGAAAGTCGCCAAAAATTTCCCCCCCCGGTACCCGGGCAGTCGCAACTTCGCGAATTCGCTTAATCCGGTGAATCCATTAGGATACTTGAACGGCTTATCAACCGATCGCGAGCGAGGCCAGTTTCTCCCAGTTCGTCGATTCATCCAATAAACGTTTTTGGTATTAACCGAGACACTCGATGAAAACTGTCGGAACCCCGCGCGTTTAGTTTTTAGTTTTTAGGCGAGTTCTTTCTCACGCTCGCGTTCCCCTCAGTTTTTGAAAGTTTTTTTGAAAGTTGACGTAACACGAAGAGAAGTGATTCTGATTGAACACAATGTGATTCGGTAGACAGGACATTTAAATTCGAATTACATTTCTTCGTTCTAGCACATCAGTTGCAGCGAATTCCTCGAATTACAAGAATAAGAGGGTTTAGAATAGGTCAAAGTATTTCCATCGAAGACAGAAAGTCCATAGTTAATCCACTTGGACGGTTGCTGGAAACAATCGATTTATCGATAAATTTCTTGGAACGCGTAGTTGGCGTATTCGTATCATAACGGAGACAAAAGATAGATTTCTATCCTCGCTGTTAACCTAGATAGAATTCCATTATCAATATTCACAGAAAAAAGAATCCAAGAATTTTTCCAAGAATAAAAGATTTTGTACTTTTCACAAATTTTGCTCGAAATTATCGTATAGTATAAGAAAAAAAGGTACAACCGTACCAACGACAATGAAAAATTGTTGGTAATTCAAACTGATATAACTTTATAAAAAAAAGAAGATCGTGTAGATCGTGTACATCCACTTGATTTCATTTAAAAGCGCGAAACCTTTGCTTTGACAGCAGTTAGTTCGTTCTTTTCAAAGACAATTTTACTTCATGTATCGGTTGCAAAGCGAGGATACTTTTTTCTCGAAAATTGTCAAAATTCAAACGTGTGTAAAAATATGTACAAAATTTTTTTTTCAACAATTTTTCCCTTTGACCCCTTAAAACTTATATAATTTTTTTTTTTTCACCCTTTCACTGAACTCTGAATACTAGGGTTAAAAAAAATTACTTGAAAGAAAACATTTCATCGAGTTTAATAAAAGAATAGGTGAAAAAAAGAAAAAAATCGAAGAGCAAACGAGTTTTTGTAAAGAGAAAATTTCAATTTTCAAGGACGTAGTGGATTTTACCATGAAAAAAATTTTTTAATATTCTTACACATGTTTGAATTTTAACAATTTTCGAGGAAAAAAGAACTCACGACTGTCAAAGTACAACTCCTGGCAAAAGTTGTCAAAATTACATATATTAGTACGAAATCGATTAAAAATACTTATGTCTTATAGCTATAAAATAATATTATATCTTCGTAATAATAATGGGAACGTGAAGGGGATTTTGTAAAGAGTAAATTACAATGAAACTTTATAGTATATAAAAATTTAATATCAGGAAAAAACTAGAGTGCAAACGAAATGTTGCAAAGAGAACAGAAAGCTTCTGGTTATTATTTTTAATTGAAAAATAATTGATCAAATTATTGTATACTTCGCGGCATAGATGCTGTAAGATTTTGACACTCTGTTAATGGAATTTCTTCCCATGATGTTTTTATTGCTTCACAAAGTTCAGTTTTATTATGTTTTTTTTTCTTTTTTTATCACGAATTTAAATCACGCTTTAATGTGAGATCTTTAGATTTTTTTTAAAGAAAGATATATCAATTGAAATTGGTAGTTATCGACAATTTTTATTGTCATTGGTTACAGTTATGTTTTTCACTGTACATTCGTCCATAAAACAAATGTATTTAGAGCTGTCGACAATTATTCGTTAAACGCTGTGAGTCGCATTTACGCAAACGGAATCAGACTTGGTCCAATCATTCTCGTCCTGCGTTTCCCGTGTATATCGACTCGTATTATTGCGTGTAGATCCGGTCAAACAAACATATACATACGTATCAGTCGTATCAGTCGAAATATCTCAATCGAAATTCCCCGTGGCAGAATCAAGATGGTCGTTCACAGGAAATCCGGGGATTCGAGTCGAACGAGACGCACAATCGAATCAAAGAGACTACCTTTTAGGATAAACCAAACAACCAAGTCCGCCAGTTCAAACGTTCCTCTTTGATGAAGCTGTTGACAGATTTGCTTGTAATTTAGTCAGTGTACCTGTAACAGACAAGAAGACGAAACTAGTGATTACTCTGTTTGGTGATTGAACTTTATGTTGAAATTCAATTCAATATTATATGTAAAATTCTCTAAAAAAAACAATCGTATTTATGTACTTCGTCAGCTGTCTTCTGCAAGATTTGCACATTTTTGCACGACTAATTTCGCATTTTCAGAAAAGGAATCTTGTGCCCCACCTAAGCATCTCTAAAATCCCGATGCCTCGCCGCTGTGACACATAATTCTTATTATTCAAAAAGTGAATTTCTAACGTGAGGGAAATCTAAAAAGGCATTAACTTGGTCTAAACAAGCTTCCAAAGAAAGAAAACCAATTGAAAAGTTAAAATTTAGAAGAAGTGCAAAAAAAAAATTCAAGGTTAACAATTTATTCTTGAATTTCTGCTCTAGAAAATCAAAGGACACCAACATGAATTTGTTATTATACAATAGATATTATGTCGAAATATTATCTGCAACAGGTAAGTTATTTTACCGAACTGAAATGCGTTTCTTCGACTTTCGCTTATTTTATACAATATTTTTACAATGTAGTGAAATTGAGAGTTGCATCTCTTTACGTACAAGCCTCATAGAGAAAAACTATGCCATGAGAAGACAGGATCGGACGATGATTTTGTAGAAAATGTTACGAAAAAAGATTCGAAACAATTAGGTAGAACAAAAGCAAGAAATTGTACCAAAGACTATCGATTTATCTTTTTTTTTTTTCTACACTGCAATACTTTTTTCATACCGTTGTAATAACGGAGCTAACGTCGAAAAATTTCGAAGTATTAACATTCACTCGAATTGTATGTTTTCACTAATCTTCGATTCGCCAGTCACCGATGACTCACCCGCGGCATTCAACGCGTTAAAATACCCTTCGCCAACCGTTCCCTCACCAGTTCGACGATCTCTCATTCAGAGCAGGAATTACCATCAAATTTGCGTTTCACGCGTAGAGACCAAAACCAGAAGCCGCCTAGAACCCGATCCTTTGCATAACAAACAGTCGATTTATGTTTGAAACAGACACACACACACACACAATTTTGCATGTCAATGGAGACAGGGCTAGGATGGATCAAAAATTAACAAGCTTCCGGTGACCGCGTCGACCCTCGCGTGACGCCATTACGTCGTCGGTAACGTTGAAACGGCGACGAAGAGCCAGCCGCGGTCGCGAGACGAGACGCGAGAAATTCTGAATAGACAGGCAGACGCTACCCGTTGTCAGCCACGCCGGAACGAACGGTAGAAGTTATATCTTGGAGAGGGCGTGTGTTCGCGTGTGTTCGCTAACAGGAATTGTTTATCGCGGGCCCTTTTGTTCGCCGGTTGGAACAATACGCGACGCACGTCGGCCTTTCTGTTTCCGCGCCATCAATATCCCTCCCGCCGTTGGCTTCTTCGCTCCGGAGATGTCGACCGTTTTGTACCGAACGTTTGTATCGCGTTTTGTTGCGCGCGGCGTTCAACATTCACCGAGAACAATCGACAACCGGCGAAAAGGAAGCGAAACGAATTAAATTATTTTCACTTTCGTAGCCGCCGCGGCCTTTTGTCCCTGGCCTGCGCCCCCATTCATCGGAGCCAGCGCTCCGTGCGAAAGGCTCGCTTCCGCGTAGAGAGGTCTCGTGGCTCCTGAATTGCGAAAGATTCGTTTCGTTGCATGGCCGGGGTGAACTTGTCATTGGGAAAAATCGCGCGAGTTGCGGTTGGTGTAGCGACACCGACCATCTTCTTTGCACCTTCTGTCTGGTAGATTTCCGCGGTTGGTTCAGTCGCTGTAGCGTTTAATTCAACTGCTGCGCAATTATATGCCGCGGTTTTTTTTTCTTTTTTTTTTTTATTATTAAATCACACCGCACGGTCGTTAAGTGCTTTTGCGTTGATAAGAAACGCGCGTATTTTGAACGTGATTGCATGCAGCAATCAAAGGGTGAAAGACGTGTCGGCACACTTAGTTCTTCGGCGACACTTCTACGAAAATAAATGTAGTATCGGTTATTATAATTAATCTGTAGTATAATTTTATAGTATAACGTTTAGTTATGTTTAAATATAACAGATGGCCTATTTGTTGATCATAGAAATAGGATAAAATATGAATGTGATGCGAGAAACACAACGTAGGCATGGAGCGCTTTTCTTTTTCAAAAAGAGCAGAGTCGAGCGTGTTGAAAAATCGTGAAAGAGCGTTGAGAGACAGCTGTTAAAAGTGTCAATTGTGTTGTGTTAAAAGAGTTTCTTTGAGTTGTTAATTCGTGTTGTTTGTCTTGTTTAATTATTTGTTATTATCTTGTTATTATTTCTATTGTCATTACTTTTATTAAATACATATTATTTATGTTATATCTCTACACAAATGATACATCTGGGAAAAATCTTTTGCTAAACTACATACAGAAGTACTATGCACAGTTATATAATAATAATACAAGAAATTGAAAAATTCAAACGCTTAAACCTTAGGATTCTTCTCTATATCGTTTGGTACTCGACGATCCAAGCAGAGAGAGAAAGAGAATTTGAATGGCGGCTGCTCGAACGAGATCTCGTAGCGATTAGACGTATTCTGCACACTCGGTGGCCGCGTTTGTCCGTTTCGAGAGACGTGTAAAACAAAATCGTCGCGTTTCTGCCTGTGAATATATATCTTTGTGCTCTGCGTTGGTGCGGTACTTATTGTTCGGCGGCCGATTCATCGGGCACCAGCGCTCATAATCCGCGACGGGCTACCAGAACACACGTCGTCGTGCACGTTTGTACCGTCGCGTCGCGTCGCGGCTCGTCGACGGCGAAGCGTTTTGTCTCGCGGTGACGTGCGTGCATTATTCTCGCGCGTGCACGCGCGCTGGCTGCCGCCACCGTTTCGAAAACGCTTCAGGACGAAGTTCGTTTTGAAACTGTGGGAGCTCGGAAGCATTCGTACCGCGATTCAGTTTATACCCACGTATTTTTGAACGAGTGTGTATTTTCTTGTCGTGGCCTTTGTCGGAATCAAAGGTTATTTCACTCTAAAATAGCGATTCATTTATTGCGTTAATGTTGCAGTAATTAATCTTGCACACTTTATCGTACAAATATGCAATACGCGTTTCTAGTGCCGAACAACGGTGTATCATTGTTAGCAACACTTGCGAAAAGTGCCATCACAAATATCTGTGACACAATGCAATTTGCCTAACTCCACTCAACATATATTAATCGCTCGTTCTAAATACGAAGATAAAAGAAAACAACACGATCTTACAAACTCACTCAAAATGTTGCAAAAAGAAGATCCCGGGAGAAAAGAATATAAATTTAGAATTTTTGAGAGATATAGACCACACCTGCAAATTCTACCGTGGTCACTAATAATCCGAGAAGGTGGATGTGATCCTAAACACTTAATTACAATAATAATGATAATACCCTGGTCATCTGTTTCATCTAAATTTTTATTTCCAAACTAAAAAACCGATATTCCATCCATCTCGTCCCAGAGAACGCGCCACGCCTTCCGGACGTTTATTCGTACTTTACGGTACGTCGCGTATACCCCCGCAGAGGCTTTAGAAAACTCGACTGAATGGCACAAGGACGAGCATTGTCGAGACGTGTCCATTGATCAGCGTGTGTACCGACGGTAGGACGCATTACAGACGCGAGAGCGTGGCGTTTCGCGGACGTCGCGACGCTCTTTTCTCCCCTCCCGTAGGAAAAACGGGCCGCCGTCTTTTCCTCGCTCGAGGCACTCGACGATGCGACGTGACGGCACGTTACGAGCGGCTTGCATGCAGACGCACGTGCGTCCGCGACGGCCGTAATCGACGGATAACCCCTCCTCAACGTGTCGAGACAATTAATCGTTACGCTCGCCCGGCATTTCGAGTGCACGTCGCGTTGCCAGACGTCGTTTGATCGACGTCCATCGCGGATAACCATCGGCAAAAGTACTTGATTCCAACGGTAGAAAATGTCGCGTGTCTGCAAGAGCCGAGCTGTGGACATTTTTCAACGTGTACCCTTTTTTTTTTTTTTTTCTTTTTTGGACCAGCAGGTGAAATAAAATTTCTGACGAAGTACACGCACTGTAGGTGGTGCTTCCAGCAGGAGGTGATTCCAGGAAATGAAAAAGCAAGAGAAAAGGAAGAATAAAGTTATTTTTTGCCAATGAAAAATTGAAAAGAAAATTCTCCTTTTTTCGTTCTTCTTCGTTTTCGAGAAAATCGAGGTCGGAAATTTATCGAGTATATTATTGAATTTAGTTAATTCTGTCCAGTACATTCTACGCGTGAAAATAACAATTGTTAATTCGACGTAAAACCACGACGATAACGGCGAATTTTTTAACACTTTCGTTACTGCGAATAATTCCACAAGTATAGTTTCTCTATACTGGGAGATTTCGCGGCAAATATGTACTTTTCAAAAGAAGCATGTGAAGCTTCACAAAATACACGAAATTATTTAAAAGAATTATTTTTTTGACGTCGACGTTAATATCAAGAGAATTGAAACAGTTACTCGTTTTTTAATTTTAGTTTTATTATAAAAGAACGGGATTTCAAAAATTATTTAAAAAATTTTTTAAATTATTCGATAGTGAAGTTTCGTATGGTATACTTGAAAGTAAGGATGCACGCAAAGACCTACATTATAAATTTGACAAGAGTAACGAGTCTGTTTATATCGTTTTTTTTTTTTTAACAAACAACGCATTTAGAATTTTTTTTCGTTTGTACTGCTAGTACAAGAAATAGGGAAATGTCTAGCAGTAAGTTATATTGGATTTTTATTCACAAATCTCGTGACAATGTTATATCATCACTCTCTTTATGATATTTTTGATTGATTCAAGATGAAAATTTGCAACTGATATACTTCCTTCTTGTTAATATGAATTTCATCCATAATATGAAACAAACATTTTCTTAAATCATTTAATAGTTTCTCTCGTTGAATGAATGGTACTCTTTTAGCACATTATTTTTTATCGCTGGC